ATATAAAACTTCACTTTTATTAAAACTTACACCTTTACCATTGCACAGTAACTCTTCAGATAACCTGAATAAAAAAATACTACTGCACTTTCTCAGAAGAGTTTATTTACATGATACAATCAGCTTCATTTTGTTTAAACAAATGTTTCATTATATTTTTGCATCTATCATCATCTGGATCTGTTCTTACAGAAAATTACTTAATTTATTCTTAGAGAAGTTAATTAGCCATCAATCAATAGATAAAACAAACTATTTTCATAATATAAGCAGATGCATATTGAAAATGGAAGACAGAAAGTGCATATGCCTCCCCTTAACCAAAAGTTAATAAATAAATAAAACATTTTTTTCTGTTATTTTCTTACTGAAATATATTTTATGTATATATAAGTTAATTAGCCATCAATCAATAGATAAAACAAACTATTTTCATAATATAAGCAGATGCATATTGAAAATGGAAGACAGAAAGTGCATATGCCTCCCCATAACCAAAAGTTAATAAATAAATAAAACATTTTTTTCTGTTATTTTCTTACTGAAATATATTTTATGTATATATAAGTTCTTTTAGATTTATCTACTAAAATAAATTTATGAACAATCTTATTGTAAATGCTCTTCTAATACACTATATGTCATGAAATTATCCTTTTGAAGTATTGTTATTTGTTAAATTATTTATATATTGAAATTTTGAAAATTCAGTGAAGTTATGAAATTGAAAATGTTTAATATTTTGTTTTTTTTTATGATAATTTGATCTTTTATTTCATAATTCTAATATTTATAAAGCTTTAACACAAGATTATATCAGTTATTGATATTTATCTAAGAAATATCGCAGAAAATTCTATTTAGGATATAATTTTATACAGATTTTTTTATAGTTTACTTCACTAAATTAAATTATATAATTATATTTAAGCATATAAAATTATTGAACTGAAATTATAAGTTAAAATATATTTTATTTCAGGAAACTGCTAGAAAGAGTACGACAAATTGGAAATGTAATTGTTCTTAATTAAATTAATGAAAAAAAAAAATCTGAAATTTTGAAAATGATAACATTATTTATAAAATAGCATTTCTTGTATATTTTTACTTTGTAAAAATGAATTAATAATGTACAGTTAGGATCTTTAAAATTAAAATTTAGTTTTGGAATATTTGTAATATACAGTACTCTCTATTAAATTAAGAGAATGTTATGTAAGTGAAAATATAACAAATAATAATCTGAACTAATTTGCCGAAGTTCACTTTAATAACAAGTTTTTCTCGAGTAAGTTCAGGCAACCAAGCTCAGATGCACCTCCTGACAATGGGCTTGGTTGTCTGAAAGTACTTGAGAGAAACTTATTATTAAAGTGAACTCGTAAAGCGGATCATTGTGTGTTATGCAGGGTATCCAAAAAGTTACTGTGCAGTGAGAAATTTGCAGACGTTAAAATTATACATACCAGTATAGTACCTTAAGTTGTAAGTCCTGCATTTCCATTTTGCAGTAAATGGCATTACTGCTTGCTCACAATGTTCTGGTTTTTGAAGGAATTTTTTTTGTTGATTGCATAATCTCCCATGAAATCTGGCCTGTTAGGTCTCTGGAGGAAATTTCCATCATTTGCTATAGGAGAAACTGCAATATCATGTATAAAACTTCACTTTTGATAAAACTTAAAACCTATTCTACTGCACAGTAACTTTTTGGACACCTTGTACACAGTTTATATTTAAAAAAAACTTGTTTTTGCATTAATAAATGGAAAATAGTAAGTGCAATCCTCTACATGCATATTCTCTTGTATTTTAATATTGGCAATAATAGCATTAAATGACTAGACTATATCAAGAGCCTTAGTTGTTTTGCAAATCAAATTAATTATCATAACATCATATTCTCTCTTGTTACAGAATATATAAGTATACAGTGTGTGATCGTGATCGGTTAATGAACATGTTCACAAAAGATTTTTACGTTTGGATACGATTCGAACACCTCACAGAACAAATACAAGAAGAAGCAATGTAAAATAATGAATACAGATTGGTCTTCTCTTGTCTCCAGGTGACAATATGAAACCTTTTGAAGCGCAGGAGACATCAACATTGATGCTCAACCTGATACCAATTGGATAGTGTTCCTCCAAACTTTGAAACTTTCACTTGTAATTCCAGCCTTTTGTTTACCTTTCTGACAGAAAGAATTTTTTATAGTCTTTATGAGACTGTTGGGCATTTGTTAAGTTTTGCAATGGTTTTTTTTTTTGTCGAAAGGGGAGAGTTTAACTGTCCCATTGGATATTCATTAACGTTTTAACACCAAATTTTGAATTCAGTCAAGGCCTCACATTTACATAATTTTTTTATGCACTAGTTGATTTCTATTCTCTGAATTTTTGTAAGTGCTTTTCTGAACATTTATTTGAAAAAGAAACTGATAATATTTTGGAGCCTAAAAAGAGTAGTGTGTCAAGAACAGTGCTCACCATAGAAACCAAACAAGAGATAATAGCCAAGGTAAAGAATGGGCAGAAGATGGCTGATGTTGCTAGGCAGTATGGCTTGAACTAGGTCTACAGTAGACATAATCAAGTGATGTAACTAGTATGACTATCATAAAAGAGAAAGCTAGAGAAATTTTTGAAGAACTGAAGAAACAAACTCCACATTTGTCATGAGGAGATAGTATTCAAGGCTAACACTAGATGCTTTGCAAAGTTTAGAAAAAGATTTGGCATTAAACATGTGGTAATTCACAGTGAGTCTGCTAGGGCAGATAAAGAAGAAGCTAAGAAGTTCTGTCTCAAATTTGAAGAATTCATTAAAAAAGGATAATAACAAATTTTCAATTGTGATGAAACTGGTTTATTTTGGAAGTGCATGCCAAACTGTACCCACATCACAAATGATAAGAAAAATATTCTTGGGCATAAACCCATGAAACACTAATTGACATTACTTTTGGGAACTAATGCCAGTGGTGATACACAAGAAGTGGGATAAGCTTCATATCATTCTGAGAACCCTAAAGCATTAAAGAAAAAAATTCCATAATTAAAGAAAGACTGTCAGTGATGTTGAGATCGAATAAAAGGGCAGGCTCTTTTCAAAGAATGGCTGTTTGAAGTTTGTGCTCCAAGCATCAAGGATTACCTTCAGACCAAAAAATTGCTATTGAAAGCACTGTTGCTGTTGGACAATGCACCAGGACACCCAAAAGACCTTGAAGATAATTTGCTGGAAGACTTTCCTTGGCTGACAGTTCAGTTTCTGCCTTCAAATACCACTTCGTTGACTCAGCCAATGGATCAGGTTATTGCAGGTTTCAAGAAATTGTACATTTGTGCACTGTTTTGCCTGTGTTTTGAGCATGCCAGGTCTCCTCAATAATGACATTAAAAACGTTTTGGAAAGAAAAATTTGATATTCTTGGAGCTATCCAGCTCATTCAAAAGGCATGATCAGAAGTCACTGAATGACAGTCAAATTCTGCTTGGCGAAAGCTGTGTCCCTCCTGCATTCAGGAGATGACGTCCCTGAAATTATGATGAAATTGTGACAACTGCTAGAGATCTCAAATTGGAGGTTAACAAAGATGACACTGAAGAGCTTACAATGGAACCTGAAACTGATCTGATGACAAACTCCAAGAACTCTCAATTGAATGAAGAACACCAAGAAACTCAGCAAGATGTGTTTTCTTCTGAAAAAGAGGACCAATGATGACATTTGCTATTAAAGATCTTTTGAAGAAGTGAGAGGATGTCTGAACAATGGTCTTAAGAGTCACATTCAAACCAGGTTGAGGTTAATAGGCTTGGGCTCTACAATGACAATGCTATTAATTACTTCTGAAAAATCCTGAAGAAGAGAGGAAAGTAATTGACATTGGACAGTTTCTTTAACACTCCACAAATGGAAAAAACACGACTGATACATATATATAATCTTGCATTTTTATTATTATAACATAAATAAATGTAGTAAGAAAGTATATACAGTAATTTTATTTATTTATTTTTTGGGGTTTCCAGAAGGACTTAATCAAATTCCCATACAAAATCTATGGTAAATCAATAATCGGTTAATGAACAATTCGGGGTAGTGAACATGGTCTTGGAATGGATTATGTTCGTTAACCAACCACCCAACACAGTTTCAAATGTATGTAATATATTATTTTGAAAAACATTACCTATTTTACAGATAAATTAGTTTTTAGAGTAAAACAAATAATAGATTTTTTTTATCTGGAAATTTTCTATGTGAAGAATCATATATTCAAGTGAATGTTTTGATAGAATAGTCTCAACAAGTCTCATTTGACTTGTTATTTAAGCTGTTTGTTTCACCTTGAAATTTTGCAATATGCAAAAGTTATAGATCATAAAGTAGTCCAAATGATTCATTGATCTAACTGTTGGTATGCTTTTTGTAATCTCATTTAGAAACATTGTTGTTTACATCAATGTTTATTATTTATATTTAATCAGTTTTTCAAACTTTTTAAAGGATTTTAAAGAGTTCAATACTCTACAGAATTTTCCATTCAAACATTCTTTTTTTCATTAATTAATTTGATACTATTTTCTTATATTTAGGAAAGAATTGCATGAAACATGGTACCATAATCAAAACTCCAAAAAATAAATTGCCAAGTTAAGAAAACCAAGAAAATTTATTGAAAAAGCAATGCTTTTGGACTAATTTAGTTCAGCATCAATTCTTCAAGAACTAAATATAACTTAAGAAATAGCAAGCAAAATATAATTTTTTTATTCTAAGTTTAACTTAAAAGAAGAATTTGATTTTAAATATTAAATATACAGGCATTCCAAAAAATATAAAGATTTAGATTTCGTATACTTGAAAACTTTTATGCAAAATATCTTCTATTCTTATATTTTTATAAACTAAAATAATTGTTTTTTCATATCTTAAGATTATGATGATAATTTGTAATTTTTTTTCTTTGTTCTTTTTATTGAAAGTTTCTCTGAATGTGTCCACAATCTAATAAAGAAAATGCTGATGTGAGTATGTTGTTAGAAGCAATTTAAATTTATAAATAACCTATAAAATTTTTCTGAAACATAAGAAAAATAAATATCCAACATATTTTTATATATATTTTTTAAAGCCAGCATGCTGGAAAAAAGTCATTACATGCCAAGTGTTGCCCATCTCTAATCTAGGTAATAATTAATCTATGGCTATAACCCGAAGAAGGCCTAAATGTGTGTAATAAATTGTTCTGTTGGAAAGGAAGTTATTTTATGTTTATAATAGCTCTTAATTTTGGCATTTTTTCCCCATTTAATTTATTCACCAAGAACTAAACAAAGGAAAAGCTGTAGCATGCACAAGAATGAAATTTAACATGTACACAATTACTGCATGAAGGGAGGAAAACACACATTATTTCCTGTTGCTTCAGTTATAGAGAGCCAAAACTTAATTGACTTATTGAAAAAAATCATTTTAGGTGAAATAATGGAATTTGGTACACTTTGTTGCAAACTGTGATTTTGGTAAAAATTATCTTTCTTTTCCAGCTCAAAGTGATTTATTCTATGTTTATTCACAGTTTATTTGGTTCCCCATGTTGGTGAAGCACTAAAAATTTCAAAGTTAATCAATATAAACAAGTCCCAAACTAATCTATTGTGATAAGTGGATTCTACTTTGTATAATAATGTATGTTTGAATTTCAAAAATAAAATTCACTTATTTTACAACTTATTCTCTACTGTGGATTACTTTTCAAAAAATTTAGCAATTAAATTTTCTTACATTAGATTTAAATTCTAAAATTTAAAACACAATTTATTTCACATTAGATGTTTTCTCTTTATTACACAACAAAACAAATCTGTACATTTAAATTCTTAAAATTTTATCACTTTGTGCCGGTGCTTTTTCTCTTGAAAATATTCATCAATTTCAGCATCTGCGCTTACAGATGTCTTCATTGTTGGTAGCAACATCTCAGATACACCTGAAATATTATTATTTGAAATATTGAAATAAAATTATCTGATATTCCTTCATTAATAAGCAAAACATTTCATGAAAATTTTGAAAATGAATAAATATATAATAAATTCAAAAAAAAAATTTTCAGTTGATTTTTCTTAAATTGTTTATTCATTTTGTTCATTGTCTGACCATTATTTTTAGAAAATTTTTTGCACTTATCATCCACACTATAAAGTTCTTATTTTTGGGTATTTATTAATATGCTTTGATTTTGTTCTACATTATTTTACAATTGATTATTAATTTAAAAATTAGTGCATAATATGCTATCCGCACACTTAAAAGACTACCGATTCAAAGTCTCAAGTCCAAAGGAGTTGGTGCAGAAACTCAAGGAGATAAGCACACCCGGTTATGCCATGGTATGGGATTTTAGATCCTTATACCCCTCAATAAAGACTCAACCATGTTTTTGTATCCTTAGGGATTTCCTTATTGCAAAAGTAGAAGATGACCACTCTGCACCAAGATGTAAGTGAATTAGACCATTTAACCTGTTACAGTTCTGTATTCCAGTTCAAAGGAACTATATACGCGCAAGAGAGGGCTACCCATAGGAAGTCTGTTATCCGGAGACTTATGTGAAATGGTGATCAGGGCGTTGGAAACCAAGACCGTGCCCTCCTTTTTCCCAAACATAATACTGTACGGAAGATAAATATATACGATATTATAATCCTCTGGAAAACAGAACCAGATCTGGAGCAATTTAAAGTAGCAATGAACAACAACCCTTATGGCCTATATATGGAAATGGAGCAGCATAGTAAAGAAAAAATCCACTTCTTGGATATTGACATAGAAATTAAGGAAAGGATAATACAAACTGAGGTCTATAGAAAGCCTACAGCTATACCAACATACATACCCTTTAATTCTTGTGACCCGTTCTCTTATAAAATAGCAGTGTTCAGAGCTTTAGTAAAAAGAGCCTATACTCATTCTTCCACCACCAGTATCCTACACTCCAGGAATTATCGTACATTGGAAACATCGCTAGAGAGCATGGTTACGGCAACATTATAAATAAGTTATGTAATCAGCACTTTCATATACAAAGTTGCGGCGACCATCAGGGACTCTGAGATGGCGCCACTCCTCTAGGAGTTCCCCGAGAATCCTGGACTGAAAAACGAGAACGAGAGTTTTCCCGCAGGGGATTCTGGGTATTGTTGTTTCTTCTTGTCGGGTGATCGCTGCCATGAGCATGTATAGCTCTCTCTCAAGTGTACTCGTAAGATTGTCATGAATAAATATTGTTTTAGTTTAAAATGTGATTGTGGACTTAACTATATCATGTTTACTGTCTTCTGATAAAGACAGTCTTTGTGGAGATCGAAATGGATGGAGAAAGATGGCCAGGTTTCGTCTAACTGATGGCAGCCATCCATTACCTCCAAAGTACTATAGGAGAGGATATTAAGGAACCTTACTAATGAAGAAAGCATCCCGGTAATATACAACCCACAACTAAAAACAATATATAACATAATTGCAAAGAAAAGAGGAATTAAGATTGCATACAGAAGAGGCCATTCCATATACAATTTATTGAGGAACAGAAAGGACAACCATAACCCAAACAGGCTTCCGGTAGTATATAGCATCCCATTGAAGGATGGCAGATGAGTTAGGCAATTAATTTACATCAGTTCCACCAAACGACGTCCATTAGCCACTAGAATAAAGGAGCATAAATCCGACATCACTCACAATAAATGTACAACGGCATTGTCTACATATGCGACGAACCCGGACATAACCCGTGCTTCTTTAAAAATTGGTGTTATCTGCACCACCCAGCATCAAGAACATCTAAGAACTTTGGAAGCGATGGAAATTTTTAAGGCCAATTGCAAATTAACATGCATTAATTTTAAGGATGAAATGAATTGTGAATTGAGATGGCCTTAACAAAGTTGTTTTGAAGATTGTCATTAGTCTCAAACCTCTGCCCTGCTAGCCATGTTTTCAGTTCAGGAAAAGGTGGAAGAGTTCACACATTAAAAAGTTCCAAGCTGGGTGAAAGCCTTCACCCCCTTTAAACACCCAGCGTATAGCCCCGATTTAGTGCCGAGCACTTCAACCTCTTTCCTGAACAGAAAAAGTGGTTAGGAGGGCAGAGACTAATGACGATCCTGAAAACAACATTAGGGCCCATCTCAAGTCATTGGCAGCAACATTCTATGACAAGTGGATGGAAAAGCTCGTCCACAGATATGACAAATGCCTCAATATTCACGATGATTATGTCAAAAAGTAACCATGTTTGTACCTAACTTTTGTTAATAAATGCATTTTGTTATTTACACTTGTCTTTTTTTTTATGGACCATCAAAGGTTGAAAAAAAAAAAAAACAGCTTATGTACTTTGGATACAATATCAGATAACATCCTTGATTTGTTGACACAACAGTTCTTAACACAATAATGTCAATGTTAGGCATGGATTGGGAGACAAGGTTTGAAAACTGGATAGATCTGGGAAGCTGAACTGGATTGAAGTTGAGGGACTAACTGAATTGGACTGGGACTAGCATTACCAAACTAGACAATCTTTTCTGGTCCTTTTATAAGGTTTATCCCCTTTCTTAGTCAAGATGTTACTCAAAAAAAAAGGCAATGCTGGAAGAATAACTCCATTGTCATCCAATCTCATATTTTACTCTCTAATTCTTTGGGTGAATCATCGCTCCAGGAAGAGGAATGTTTAGAAAGGAAGTGTTATCATGGATAGAATCTGGTTATTTTCTGGTTGATTTTTCCAGTTTTGTGCCTTTTTATTTTACAAAGTTTTTGAACTAATATTTTATTTTAACAAACTGTAGCCCAAGATTTCACAATACTATTAATACACATGTTCAGAGTCCCTACAGGTAATTCCATCTGTAATTCCCTGACTTAATGTCTCTGCATTTCCCCTTTCCATTATGTAATATTTAAGCATATTTTGTACTCAATTATATAAATTTTTTTTATTAAAAAACACTTTGTTCACTTACAAAAAATGAAAAACTTCGCATTAAATTGATTATGTAATTAGCTACGTCATTTTTATGTGCAAGAACTTCTGTATGTAAATTTCAAAACATCTTTCTCTCTTTTTTCTAGCAAATTCTTTAATAGCCAAAAACATTTAGTTCTTTTGATTTAATCATAAACGGCCTTCTTCAGATTGATTAATTAATTAATTAATCAACTTGAAGAAGGCCGTTTATGAAAGATGTTTTGAAACTTAGCTACGTCATTTCTACATAATATAAAAAAACAATTTAATTTAAATATATTCTTAAATTAAATTTAAATAAGAAAAAGATTCACATCACAGGAAAAAAAACAGCAAATGATGTAGACTTCCACATTATGTTAAATTTATTTTTGAACTTATTTAATGAGAACAGTTTATTGAAAAATGACTATTTCAAAAAAAGAAAGAAGAATAATGATATTTAAATTTCCATGGGAGTTTTAAATAACTAAATTAATCCTAAGATTACACTTTAAGAACTGTGTTGCTTTATGTAAATATACTAGTACAGGTATCCTTTGTACAATATAGAGTGAGATCATGCTGTAGAAGTGCTATCATGATTTGAAAATTGAGGATATACCCTGTACAACACATTTTCCGAGTTTGCTCTAAAACAGTTTAACAATTCAGAAAATCGCCCATAAAAAATTTCACAATTTTAAGTGCAAACTCTGTTATTCAATTAAGCATATGTGTCATTTCAAATCTGCCCGTGGATTTTACAATATTGAAATTTTCAATTTGTTTTGTGCCTTTCATCGGTTTACTTTAATGAAAACTAATAAGACAAGGAAGAAAAAAAAAACCAGCTATTGTTGACATTGATTTCAGACATTAGCCTTAAAGACTGTCACTGCATTTTCTTTTTGTAGATTAATCTTCATATTCAGTAAAATTTATTTAAACATTTTTAGGTAAGCATTATTAAACTTTTTCAACTGTAGGTTAGTAATCATTTGTAAGAATGATGAACAAAATACAGTAGTACCTTGGTACTCAAATTATTGCCAACTTGAACAATTTGGTATTTGAACACAAATTCTGTTAAAAATTGCTCAGTACTCAATGAACAAATGTTATCCATTAGAACACATTTTTGATTATTAACATACAGTGAAACCTCGCTTAACAAGCATAATTCAGTCCAGAGTCTTACTCGTAATGCAAAACACTCGTTAAGTGAAACAATTTTTTCCATAGAAATTAATGTAAAATATGATAATGCATTCCATGCCGAAAAAACGCTCAAATGTTTTATGTATAACGTTTATTCAAAAAAAAATTGTACAATATACACTGTTAAGGAGCATGAATCATCATCATATTTTCTTCTAGAGCAGAATGAACCATCCTGGAATGAGAATTCGATTTGCAAAAACAAAAAATAAAAAAAATCACAGCTAATATGTTTGATAAACACTCCAAACAATATGCCAAATTCTTGGGTTATGTAAAAGCTATAATTAAATATTAGAAATTAATTAATTTGACTAGAGGTAGGCAGTTATGTTTCCATCTTGTATTAAATTTAATAATTATAAATAGTTAATTTTTAATTCAGACATTACTAAAATTTAATTTGGAATCAGTCATTAAATTTAAAAGAATTTGGCATATCATTTGGTGTGTTTATTATATAATGGGCTATGGTTGTTGATGTTTATTAGTAATATGTGTAAACACAAGTTTGGAAAAATATGTGATCACAAGTGACACTGAGATGCTAGTGAAATGAGTGCTAAACACAGACTGGAGCATGACTGATGGAGCATGCCACATGCACACAATTTGGGACTCTTCTCATTACTCGTTAAGCGAGGCAAATTTTTACAATTTGTTTTGCTCGTTATGTGAAATACTCATGCAAGGTGCTCATTAAGCGAGGTTCCACTGTATTTTTTATTTTGTCATCCATAGAATTTTTTTATGATAAAAAAAATAATAATCAGGTCACAAATAATAGTCAGAAATAAGAAAAATTAAGTCATCATTTTTTCTTATTTCTGACCAAGATCAACAAGAAAGCTGAGATATACCCTGAATAAATTAAAATTAGGTTAGTACATTAATAAAATATTTTAATACACAGGTGTCCCTTGTATAATACAGTAGTTACATTCTGAAAAGATGCAGTGTTATGTGAATCTGTGCTAGACTAATCAAAACATGGGGTTAGGTTCCAAAAGTTAACAAAAATATATTGTTCTTTTCTGACACTAAGAGGAATACTGTATGTTTATTAAAAATAATTAACTAAAAATTACAATTAAAAGAATTGTATTATGCATTAATTAATATTAATTTTAGTAAACGAGGACATTTTCTTTTCACAAAGTATCATTGTCAGCTCAGCTTTTTTGTTGATTTCAGTCAGAAATATCAGCAACTGGAAGTTGTCTGAGATTTTGAACAGAGGCATTTCAGTCTATAATTTGAGATATAGAGATTTTGGGAAAAATTATTTGAGATAAACATGAAAAATATATTGAATTTATTAAGCTGAAAATGAAGAAAAAAAAATAATTTTGAGATAAACAAATTTGAGATTGACAGGTTCAACTGTATTATAAATGTTTATCACACTAAAATATAAATTAATAGAAAATAATTTAAAATAACTAATAAATTTGTTTTAAATATTAAATATTATATTTAATTTACCTTCCATTTCTTTCAACTCTGGACAATCTTTTTTCAAATGATCTAGTTTACCACATTGTTTGCAGCATCCACCTGTTTTTAAGATTAAAAAAAAATTAATCAAAATATAAATATAAAAAATATTATTTCTTAATGAAATTCTTTATAAACAATTTTATTCCTATATTAATTGACAGTAAACATTTTATATATGAACTACATACTACATGTAAAAATAAACATCTAATAAATATGAGAATTATGAAATTAGCATTTTTCCTAATAAAAATTGCTAATTTCAGGAACCAAAACAAATTTTTATTCAGAAATATTTTTGTTCTCTTAAAAGATCATCATCAGCTGAAAATTTTCTGTGCTTTAGAAAGAATTGTGAGGGTCGTAAAAGCGCGTAGAAATTTCGACTAATTACAAACTTTAACGTCAGAAAGTTTCTAAGACAGAATCGGGTCAAGGGGATGTGTTAGTGACAAAGCCCAGATGAGACGAAATTTTCTCGAAGTGTAAAACAAACGGGACGCGACGATAAATAACAGGGGGGAATGTCGACAGAGAGTGAGGGAGAGCTTTGTCGGGATGCGCGCGAACAAATATCGGGTCGAAGCAAGCGGGAGAAAGGGGGGTCTAAGAACAAAAGGGATATCTGTGAAGTAAGAACGCGGTAGGGGATAAATGGCCACAAGAACATCTGGTGAACCGTTTGGGTTCCAAGATGACAGAGAAAAGGGACATAACGGAGTAAAATACGAGCGCGAACGTTAAAGGACCGTCATCACCTCTCCGACCTTTTCCCGACCCGAATCGGTCTCGGGTTTCGCCTAGAAACAAAGGAATGACCAATCGGAGTAAGGGAGAGGGTGAAAGGGACCAATCAAAAGGGTGAGATTCGGGGAAAATCTTATAAAACCCCCGAATCTCAAGGACACGGGGCAGATTCTCTCCAAGACGCCAGGCCCGCAGCACACGGACACATACTCAAGAGGTCAGGATAGCCGAGTCTCAGCCGTGCACTGGACCCCCCAGCATCCAGAACGCCATAACCGCCGAGCACCGCCGCATCATCGGACACCTGAACTCGCATCAAGGACGCAAGATCGTCAGTAGCTACCTCATTGAGCCCCGGGGCACAGAAGAAGCGAAACCTCAGCCGGCCAACGAACTTATTTTGTTATTCCTGTTGTGTAAGTTAACTTCATGTCAAAATAAACGGTTTTCGTGTAAGACACTTGTCATCTTTGTCTCCTACCGCCACCACCCACATACGGTTTGGCCCTAGGTTTTCCTGACGCGCAATTAACGTATTGCCCCCAAAATCGGCGAACTTACAGAATACATTAAAATGAATACCATTACATTAAAACTATTTAAATTTTAAAATTAACAGAAAATTATAAATATACAAAAACAAATTAAATTAAATAAATCAAAATAAGAAATTAAACATAAAAGTATTAAATAAAATAAAACCAAAGTAAAATACAAAATCTGTAAAGTAATCTATGAATTCTCTGCTATAGATAGTGAAGTTGCTAGCCAAAAATGTGCTTCTGACATTTTTAAAGTTTCCACTCACATAAAGAGCTGATGCAAATAGACTATTCAGTAATATCAAGATTCATATTTGTCGTTCAGATAAAATAAGATGGTGGTGAACACCCCATTTTACAATTATACGAGTGAAGTCGTACCTTCGCAGTACATAGAATTCTACAATAAAGGCCTAAATATATTCCCCTTGCTAACATCAACCTTTGCCAGTTGATTCCAACCTCATTAGCAGCACTCAAGCCTTGCCAGGCAGCAGCCATGTCTCCACAAATGAAATTATCAGTAGTCACAAAACTTGCAACGGCAAAACAAGTGTCCAATGTATCCAAACACCATGCGGACTACCAAACAGTAACACACTTCCTCACCGGGGCCAACTTGAGGTTTCTAGTCTCAGATAAGGACAAGAAATTTGTGCTGTGTAAAGAAGATAACTTTCTCTTCAGGGCCAATGAGTTTCTTTCCCAATCACATTCCTTGGTGATAAGTGAAGACCCTACACCAATGTTCCTATGGAAAACAAGGAGAATAATAACCCTACTGAGTGTAACATCAACCATAACTGGATGTCTTGACCCCCCTCCAATGTTGCACGTCCCAGGTTGTTCTTTGAACCAAAAATGCACAAGGCAGACTGGCCATTGCAACCACTTGTGAACAAGAGATCTCACCCATCTACTTTTAGAAAAGGTGCTTGCTAAGTTCTAAGGGTAAGTCTGGGACTAGTGTGCCTACGCACACTAGTCCCAGACTCACCATATGTTACTCCCCCATCCTAGATTGCTAAATCCACCATCACTTCGGGCATTGGTATAGTACAAACAAGCACATACAGCTTCTATAAATGGGACATCGTATCCTTGTACCCTTTGGTGCCCACATTTGAAGCCATAATGCTTGTCAACAGTCTACTCCTCAAGAAGGGCTTTAATTCCCAGCAGATACTGGATATATATGATGCACTGATCTTCAACACAGAACACAATTATTTTCATTTTAATCTGAAAATATATTTATAGAAATAGGGCATCCCCATGGGTTCCCTTTTATCTGCTATTCTAGCAGAGCTGTTTATCAGAGAAATTGAGCAGAGAATATTCAATTCCCCGCCTGCCATCCACTACCTGCTGTTGTACTTGCATTACATTGATGATATCCTCATAGTGTGGGAGGACACAGATGAAATGTTTCTTATCTTCAAACAACAAATGTCTAGTGTATATCTCTCCATTAGTTCACTTGGGAGAAGGAGATTTATGCAACTGTAACATTATTGGATTTACGCATACATAGATCACCTGAAGGGCTACTATTCTGTTTACCGTAAATTTAATAAGCTGACCCATATCATCCAGGCAGATGCTTTCCAACCTTCACAATATGTTGACACCATTATCACTGCCCTTATTAGACAAGCCTTCTTGTTATCATCAACTCAAGCACTTGTAAACATTGAGTTAAGCACCATTAGTTTGGCGGTATGCGCAGCTGGTTTCTCAGATGCTAAGTTCATACATGTGCTTAACATAGTCAGGAAATCTATTTCCAAGCACGACACTATCCAACAACAGGGAGATGTCATTAGTTCAACCGGCATTACCGTACCTCGGACCCCTTTCCATGTGCATGTGCCGCATATTCAGGCAACATAACCTTCTCCTATCCCTATCTCCACTACCAAATTTGTGCAGACTCATCTGCAATGACCAGGACAAATTCTCCACCTTTGAAAAATTGGGGGTCTATGCTATACTGTTGGAGAATCCCATAACAGAGATGAATACAAGGTACTGTACATTGGGGGCTATAACGAGAATGATCACTAGCCACCTAGCTGAGCACCAGGATGATATGGTGAAAGGAAAGCGCACCATGGAGCTCTAAAAAAAGGTGCTCAAACAGAGCTACAACCCATTATGGACTCAAACGACATTGTTCAGAGGTTGTAGTGACTGGAAACTCATCTTTATATGGGAATCTCTCCTCACAACAACCTCAGAATTGTGCAACACTCCCACTCTTGACATGCCCAACATATGGGTCGCCCTGTATAAACGATTAAACAGCAATTTACATCAAATCACACCATTAACATGGATCTGCATCCACGCATGCGCTGCATAACATCAAACATAATTGAAGTTTTGTAGCTTGTTCGTAACAGCTTTTAATTCTAAAACGTTTTTAAAAGTTTTAATTTAAATATGTTCCATCTCATGTTAGAACATTTTTGTTGAATTTAAAATTTTCATTTGCCTGAAGAGGACGATCATAGATTTGTTGAAAATGCTAGCAGTATAAAAAAGCTATTAATAACACTGTACTCAGTGAGTTTTTCCTTCCTGCTATTCAACATTTGGTATGAGAATCAAGCTGTATTGTATTTTTATTTTGTCATCCATAAAAATATTTTTATGATAAAAATTAAAAAAAATAAAGACATTGCTGATATTTCTGATCAAGATCAACAAAAGCTGAGATGATGATGATACTTTGTAGAAAGAAGACTTGTTTAACTAAATTAATATTAATGCATAATACAGTACTTTTAATTGTGATTATTAGTTCATTATTAATTAGAAATAAATTATTGATTGCTTTCATAAACATATTTCTCTTAGTAACAAAAAGAATAGTATACTTTTATTAACTTTTGGAACCTAACCCTACAAGAGCGTACCCAGCGAGGAGCAGGATACGCCCTTGCCTAGGGTACACTTTAATTTTTCTTCTAGAAGAAAAGAAAAATCCTTCCCTAGAAGAAAAATTAAAGTAATTGAGTAATTGACACACAGCACAGACATATCAATTTAGTATCAGTATGAATAATAAATATTGTGACTAGACTAGAGCCTAGAGCCATATGTCATGAAATCTTAGAACTATTTCGCTGTTTGCTGCTATTCTTGAACTCAAAGAAACTATGAGTTGCCCCCCTCTAGTTCAGATTCTATGTATGCCGCTGTAACCCTATGTTTTGCGCTAGTCCTATGTTACATATAGCATGGATTTGCATAACACAGCACTTTTCCAGAATGTAACTACCATGTTATATCAGGGTTACCTGCAATTCTTAACAGATAATAGTATCAAGAAAAAATAAATTATTGCATTTATGGATTATAAAAATATAACACTTAATTTTAAAAAATCCTCAAATGTAGATAGAGTTTATACTTTAACATATTCAATTTTGATGATAAACTTACTGTTTAAAAATAATTCTTCTAAATTAATTTTTGACCAATAAATAACAAATTAAAATTATTTGTATCTTTATTTATATATGAAAAATATAAAAAAAGTAAAAATACAGTTTTACTTACCATTTGGATATAAACCTTTTGGATTGTCTGGACAGTTTCTTGATAAATGTCCTTGTTTTTTGCAAATAAAGCATTTTGCAAAAGGAAAATCTAATGAAAGATAAATGACAATTAAGGAAGGCCTTTTTAAAAATAATTCTTTGTATTATTAATATGTTTTATTATTCACTTAATAAATTCAAACAGTTTCAGTTTATTAAAATTTTTCATCATACAGGGCATGTCTCTGAAATAAGGTTTAATCTTTTATAACTTAACTTTTTTAGTGAAATTTGATATTAAGTAAATTATAAATTAATTATTTTTAATGAAATGATAACAAATTTAAATATAATATAAATTATAAAGAAAATTTTAAACTTAGTTTTATATTTCTTTTAGGTGTTATACCTTGAACTTTAATTAAGAGAAAATTTTAAAAAATTTTTGTAAAAAATTAACATGAACTGTTGAATATTAAAATAGCAAGAAGTTTAATTATACTGAATGAAAAGTCAAAAGTCTCTTGCAATTTTTTATTCCAGAATGATTGAAAATATAGATATCTCTTGTATAACATGGTTTCACTCAAACACAGTTCAAAAATTGGAGAAATCCCCATATAACACGGTTTCTGGCTTAACTCGAACATGGTTTGGAAAATCCTCTGTACAAAATTCACAATTTTTAAGTGCAAACTTCATTATTCAATATTTGTTTTATTCAAGTAAGCATGCATGTTAACTCAAATTTGCCCATGGATTTTATAATGTTGAAATTTTCAATTTGTTTGTACCTTTCATTAGATTCACTTTAATGAAAACTGATAGGAAAATTTTTTATTCCTTGTCCTAGCTTTCCTATTAACCAAGTGTCATTGTTTCTTTCAGACTTTAGATTAATGTATAAAAACAAAACACTGTGACAGTGTTTTGTTTTTATGAAATATTGCGGTGTCTCGGTACTCAAACTGTTTCCAACTCAAACAATTCAATACTCAAACACAAATTCCAGAAAAAAATCTCTTGATACTCAACCGAACAAATGCTACATGCTAGAACAAATTTTCAATTAATAACATTTTTATTTTGTCATCCATAAGAATTTTTTATGATAAAAATAAAAACAATAGAGACATTGCTGATATTTCTGATCAAAATCGGCAAAAAGCTGAGATGATGATGATACTTTGTAAAAAGAAGACTCATTTAACTAAAATTAATATTAATGCATAATACAGTACTTTTAATTGTGATTGTTAGTTAATTATTAATTGGAAATAAATTATTGATTGCTTTCATAAAAACATTTTTTTTGTTGATTTAGTGAATGTCTCTTCAATCCAAAAAAATCTTTTCGTTAGACTACCTCACAGCCAATTCAGGTTATAAACTCCGTTTATTGTCTTTTACAGATGCATTTCAAGCTAGGTTAATTTACTAGCTCCTCCTCAGTGCTTTAAGAGTTTCCATGAGTTTCTAATCTTTACACTTATACGGTACTTTTAGTCCCGTTTACAATATTTTTACCATCTTATACAATTACTCAAAGGGCTTGTATCTTATATTGCAAAAAAGAACTACTTGCTACTGATTTCTTTCTAATTAAATTACTATAAGAACTTGTATCTTGTTACATCATAAAAACGTACTGTTTGTTACAAGATTTTTTTCAATTAAAAGCATATTATCTTTCAAAATTTGACAGTATATGTTTATACAACTTCTTTAAAAAACAATTTAGAACACAACAAAAAATTTTTTACGCGACAATGTATAATCCCTATGATGTGACATCACAGGGATTATACATTGTCTATTTAGATTATCCATTGTCTGGTTTTAGATTATACATCTAAAACCAAAAAATAGTTTTAGACTAATCAGATAATTCTCTTTAATTTAACTGTTGAAATTTTTGCATTACTTCTGTTCATTAAAAAAGTTATAAAGTGATCTTAAAAATCATCTTCAATGTCAACAAAAAAAGATTACATCCAATTCTCAATGCACAACTTTCTATGTAACTATTTTAACAAAATTAATAAATCTTCAATACTTTTAAATGAAAAAGTTGCAAGGGACTTTTGACTCATACTGTATTTTTGTGTTTAATAAGTCTAACATTTAAAACACTTTCTTTAGTATAGTAATAAACATTTAGGATCCTTAAATAATACAGTGAGTGCAAAAAGTATTCATACAGCTTCCATTCTGTACATTTAACAAAAGTAATATAAAGATCAAGCAGTGCTTTGTAAGTGAAATAAAACATTAAGCTGACGCAGAAATGATTTATTTGAAATAAAAAGACTTTTTTGTTAGGTAAAAACAAGATATGTCATTTTTTCCAAGTACAATAAATATTCATATACCTGTATACAGGTAACCCCCGTATAACACGGCATTTCTATAGCACGGATTCGCTCTAACACGGTTCGAGAATTGGTACCATCCCCCGTATAACACGGCACTTCTATAGCACGGATTCACTCTAACACGGTTCGAGAATTGGTACCATCCCCCGTATAACACGGTACTTTTATAGCACGGATTCACTCTGACACGGTTCGAGAATTGGGTAAAACCCTCGTACAACAGGAAATGTAATAAATTTTTACATACTTAACTAATAATAGTTCGCGAAAATTATTATTTTCGTGAACTATTAGTACTTAAGTATGTAAATTTTCTCTTCTCGCCTTCTGTCGATACANTCCATCTTGTATTAAATTTAATAATTATAAATAGTTAATTTTTAATTCAGACATTACTAAAATTTAATTTGGAATCAGTCATTAAATTTAAAAGAATTTGGCATATCATTTGGTGTGTTTATTATATAATGGGCTATGGTTGTTGATGTTTATTAGTAATATGTGTAAACACAAGTTTGGAAAAATATGTGATCACAAGTGACACTGAGATGCTAGTGAAATGAGTGCTAAACACAGACTGGAGCATGACTGATGGAGCATGCCACATGCACACAATTTGGGACTCTTCTCATTACTCGTTAAGCGAGGCAAATTTTTACAATTTGTTTTGCTCGTTATGTGAAATACTCATGCAAGGTGCTCATTAAGCGAGGTTCCACTGTATTTTTTATTTTGTCATCCATAGAATTTTTTTATGATAAAAAAAATAATAATCAGGTCACAAATAATAGTCAGAAATAAGAAAAATTAAGTCATCATTTTTTCTTATTTCTGACCAAGATCAACAAGAAAGCTGAGATATACCCTGAATAAATTAAAATTAGGTTAGTCCATTAATAAAATATTTTAATACACAGGTGTCCCTTGTATAATACAGTAGTTACATTCTGAAAAGATGCAGTGTTATGTGAATCTGTGCTAGACTAATCAAAACATGGGGTTAGGTTCCAAAAGTTAACAAAAATATATTGTTCTTTTCTGACACTAAGAGGAATACTGTATGTTTATTAAAAATAATTAACTAAAAATTACAATTAAAAGAATTGTATTATGCATTAATTAATATTAATTTTAGTAAACGAGGACATTTTCTTTTCACAAAGTATCATTGTCAGCTCAGCTTTTTTGTTGATTTCAGTCAGAAATATCAGCAACTGGAAGTTGTCTGAGATTTTGAACAGAGGCATTTCAGTCTATAATTTGAGATATAGAGATTTTGGGAAAAATTATTTGAGATAAACATGAAAAATATATTGAATTTATTAAGCTGAAAATGAAGAAAAAAAAATAATTTTGAGATAAACAAATTTGAGATTGACAGGTTCAACTGTATTATAAATGTTTATCACACTAAAATATAAATTAATAGAAAATAATTTAAAATAACTAATAAATTTGTTTTAAATATTAAATATTATATTTAATTTACCTTCCATTTCTTTCAACTCTGGACAATCTTTTTTCAAATGATCTAGTTTACCACATTGTTTGCAGCATCCACCTGTTTTTAAGATTAAAAAAAAATTAATCAAAATATAAATATAAAAAATATTATTTCTTAATGAAATTCTTTATAAACAATTTTATTCCTATATTAATTGACAGTAAACATTTTATATATGAACTACATACTACATGTAAAAATAAACATCTAATAAATATGAGAATTATGAAATTAGCATTTTTCCTAATAAAAATTGCTAATTTCAGGAACCAAAACAAATTTTTATTCAGAAATATTTTTGTTCTCTTAAAAGATCATCATCAGCTGAAAATTTTCTGTGCTTTAGAAAGAATTGTGAGGGTCGTAAAAGCGCGTAGAAATTTCGACTAATTACAAACTTTAACGTCAGAAAGTTTCTAAGACAGAATCGGGTCAAGGGGATGTGTTAGTGACAAAGCCCAGATGAGACGAAATTTTCTCGAAGTGTAAAACAAACGGGACGCGACGATAAATAACAGGGGGGAATGTCGACAGAGAGTGAGGGAGAGCTTTGTCGGGATGCGCGCGAACAAATATCGGGTCGAAGCAAGCGGGAGAAAGGGGGGTCTAAGAACAAAAGGGATATCTGTGAAGTAAGAACGCGGTAGGGGATAAATGGCCACAAGAACATCTGGTGAACCGTTTGGGTTCCAAGATGACAGAGAAAAGGGACATAACGGAGTAAAATACGAGCGCGAACGTTAAAGGACCGTCATCACCTCTCCGACCTTTTCCCGACCCGAATCGGTCTCGGGTTTCGCCTAGAAACAAAGGAATGACCAATCGGAGTAAGGGAGAGGGTGAAAGGGACCAATCAAAAGGGTGAGATTCGGGGAAAATCTTATAAAACCCCCGAATCTCAAGGACACG